TGGGATCACCCCGGGGCTCAGGAGCTGCCCTGCGTCACCCTGCACGCCCACCACCGCGGGCGGGTGGCCCGGGGCTCCTGTCACCTGCAGGTCAGTGCCACCCCTGGGGACCCCCGGGGGGTGCCCGCTGCCCCCCCCCACCCCCACTAACCCCCTGTTCCCCCTTCTCCAGCCCCCCCTGGGCGTCTGCGTGGTGGAGCTGGAGATCCCCCCGCGCTGGTTCCTCCCGGGACCCCAGCGGAGCCGCCGGAAGGACGGGGACACCCCGCACCCCCCCGAGCCCCCGGAGAGCCCCGGGAGCCCCGAGGCGGCCGAGCTGCGCTACAGCGTGGGGGGGCCGGGGCACTGCGGGAAGGGGGATGCGCCGCGGTCCCTGGGGACGCTGGAGCTGCGGGCGGGAGAGCCGGAGCGGCGGCAGGAGGTGCGGCTGGACGACAAGGTCCTGCTGGGCGTCCCCGATGCCACCCTGCGCCCCGGGCAGAGGTTCAGGGCCACCATAGCCCTGAGGAACAACTTCACTGCCCACGCCCTGACCCTGCGGTGAGAGAGGGGACACACAGGGGGGCACGGCCGGGAGGGGACACCGGGGCAGGGGGGACGCTGGGACAGTGTGGGACACTATGGGACACTGTGGGACACTGTGTGGGACACTGTGTGATAGTGTGGGACACTGTGTGGGACACTGTGGGACACTGTGTGATGGTGTGGGACACCGTGTGTGACACTGTGACAGCACGGGACACTGTGGGACACTGTGTGATGGTGTGGGACACTGTGTGGGACACTGTGTGACACTGTGACAGCGTGGGACACTGACACTGACGCTGGGACAGTGTGTGACGGTGTGTGACAGTGTGTGTGATGCTGTGTGTGACAACTGTGACAGTGTGACTGTGTGACAGTGACGCTGTGACACTGTGTGACAATGTGTGACACTGTGTGTGACACTGTGACAGTGTGTGACACTGTGTGTGACACTGTGACAATGTGCGTGACAGTATGTGACAGTGTGTGACACTGACACCGTGACAGTGTGTGGCACCATGTGACACCATGATTGTGCATGACACTGTGTGTGTGACACTGTGTGACAATGTGTGACACTGTGTGTGACACTGTGACAGTGTGTGTGACAGTGTGGGACAGTGTGTGACACTGTGACAATGTGCACGACAGTATGTGACAGTGTGTGGCACTGACACTGTGACAGTGTGTGGCACCACGTGACACCATGATTGTGCATGACACTGTGTGTGTGACAGTGTGTGACAGCGTGACACTGTGTGTGACAGCACGTGACACTGTGTGACGATGTGATGCTGTGACACTGTGTGATGATGTGACATGGGATCCTCCCCAGGATCAAGGCCAAGAAGGGGCTGCAGGTGGTGGCCGCCCATCCCGCCGTTCCCAGCGCCTGGAGCGCCCACCTGGAGCATTCCCGGGGTCCCAAGCACTCCCTGGCTGTGGTGACGTGCCGGCGGATTGGGGACACCCCTGGCAGCGGGAGGTAGGGGCTGGCACAGCGTGTGGCACTGCCCCATCCCAGCGTGTCCCAGTGGGGTCCCAGAGCCCCCATCCTTTGCCCCGCCCCATCCCAGTCCATCCCACCTGGGTCCCGGTGATCCCGATCCCGGTGTGCATCCACAGGGTGTCCGACTCGGCCGTGTTCCTGCACCTGGAGCTGGTGGTGGAGAACGGGACGGGGGGCCCGGCACGGCCCCTCACCTGGCAGGTGGAGTATCCCGGCCAGGATCCCGAATCCCAGAAGGACAAACTGGTGTGGGAGATCCAGGTGGCGGAGCGGGAAATCCGCGCCCTCGTCCCTCTGGTCCAGGTGGGTGCCGTTCCCTCCATCCCCCCCCGTCCCGTGGGAGCGCCGGCTCATCCCCTCTGTCCCGCCAGGAGCTGGAGATCCTGAACACGGCCCCGCTGACGGGAATCCCGCGGGTCATCCCGGTGAAACTGGTGGCCGTGGAGGCGGGAGGCGGCGTGTCCGAGCTGGCCGATCCCGTGGGATGCGAGTCGGCCGACAAGCAGGTGCTGCAGGTGAGCTCCCTCCCGGCGTTCCCGCCCCATCCCGCCCCGCCTGGATCCCCGTCCGTCCCCCGGCATCGCCCGTGCTCTTCCAGGTGTCGGATTCCTGCGACGCCGTGTTCGTGGGGGGCCGGGAGAGCCGGGGGGCGCGGGGGGCCCGCGTGGATTTCTGGGCGCGGCGGCTGCACGCGGAGCTCGCCTTCTCCGTGTGGGCCCCGCTGCTCCCGCTGCGCGTCCAGCTGGGAGACCCCGCCCTGGAGCAGCTCCGCGGATGGAGGCGGCCCGGGAATCCCGACGGGTGAGCGCCGTTCCCGGGGGGAGCGCCCAGGACTGTCCCCGTGTCACCGGGATGGTGGGAAAGGGGTGAGGTGGGAGCGGGGCAGGAGACCTGAAGCGCTTGTGACACTTGTCCCTGTCCTCTCTGAGCCCTGTGACACTCGTGACACATGTGGCTGAGCCCTGTGACACTCGTGACGTGTCCCTGTCCTATCTGAGCCCTGTGACACTCGTGACATGTGTCCCTGTCCTATCTGAGCCCTGTGACACTCGTGACACTTGTGGCTGAGCCCTGTGACACTCGTGACATGTGCCCCTGTCCTATCTGAGCCCTGTGACACTTGTGGCTGAGCCCTATGACACTCGTGACATGTGTCCCTGTCCTCTCTGAGCCCTGTGACACTCGTGACACTTGTGGCTGGGCCCTGTGACACTCATGACATGTGTCCCTGTCCTCTCTGAGCCCTGTGACACTCGTGACACTTGTGGCTGAGCCCTGTGACACTCGTGACATGTGTCCCTGTCCTCTCTGGGCCCTGTGACACTCGTGGCACGTGTGGCTGAGCCCGGTGACGCTCGTGACGTGTGTTCCTGTCCCCTGAGCTTTGTGACACTTGTGACCTGTGTCCCTGTCCCTCTGAGACCCCACACACTCCCATGTCCTGGCATTCCTGTCCCACTGCCCTGGGATCCCTGCCCCCCTGCCCCAGGATCCCTGTCACCTTGTCCCGGGATCCCCATCACCCTGTCCCGCAATCCCTGCCACCTGTCCCATGATCCCTGTACCCCTGCCCTGGAATCCCTTTCCCCGCGCCCCAGGATCCCTGTCGCCCTTCCGGAGATCCCTGTTCCCCTGTCCCAGGATCCCTGTCACCTTGTCCTGGGATTCCCATCACCCCGTCCCAGGATCCCTGGCCCCTGTCCGGCGATCCCTGGCCCCCTATCCCGTGATTCCCGTCTCCCAGCTCCCCGCTGGAGGCCGAGGACGCGCCGGAGGAGCCGGAGCGGCGGGCGCGGAGCTGCCGCCCGCAGTTCCAGCGCACGGGGCTCCGTGTCCTGGCCCACTTCGTGTCCCACCCGCCGGACGGGGGCCGCTCCCTGTCCTACCTGCCCGGCCCCGAGTGGCTCCTGGACGTCACCCACCTGGTGGCCCCCCGGACCCGCGTGCAGGACCCCCGGGTGGCCTCGCTGGAGGGGGGGCTCGTGGTGGTGGGCCGGGAGCCCGGGGTCACCTCCGTGGAGGTACAGCGGGGGGGAGAGGGAAAGGAGGGGGTGGAGGGGGGGCCTGGGGTGGGTTGGGGGGTGTCGGGGCTGCAGAGATGGAGGGGTGGGGCTGGAGGGCGTCCTGGGGGGAGAGGAACTAAGGAGGGGGTCCAGGGGTGTCCTGGGAGGAGCTGGAGGGGTGCAGGGTCTGGGAAAATGGAGATGAGGGGCTAGGGAGGGTCGTGGGGTCAGTTTGGGAGGTCCCGGGGGGAATCTTGGGGGTGTTGGTGCCGGGGAAACGCAGGTGGAGGAGTTGGAGGGGTCCCAGGGGCAGAGGGAAGTGAGGGGGTGAAGGGTTGGCTTGGGGGATCCTGGGGGAGCTGGGGGGCGTTGGGATGGAGGGAATGGAAATGGGGGGCTGGAGGGGGTCCTGGGCACGGGGGGAGGGAAATGAGGGGATGAATGGAGATCCTCGGGAAAGTCTGGGGGGTCCTGGGGAGTGTGGGGGCTGGAGAGATGGAGATGGGGGGGCTGGAGAAGGTCCTGGGGGGAGTTTGGGAGGTCCTGGGTGAGACTGGGGGTGTTGGGACTGCAGAGATGGAGACGGGGGGTTGGAGGGGGTCTCAGGGAGCTGAAGGGGGGTCCTTGGTTGGGATTTTGGGGGTGTTGGGACTGGGGAGATGGAAACAGGGGGTCATGAAGGCAGAGGGGAGCTGGGGGAGTGCAGGGACTGGAGGGAGGGGGGGAGCTGGTGGGCTGGGAGGGAACTGGGGTGTCCAGGGCAGGGGTGGGAAGGGACACAACGGCCATGAGGGGTGTCGGGGGGGGTCTCACAAACGCCCCCCGGCTCCACCCCCACCCAGGTGCGCTCCCCGCTCTCCGACTCCATCCTGGGGGAGCAGACGCTGGTGGTGTCCGAGGACAAGGTGACGGTGACGGAGCTCCGTGCCCAGGTGGTGGCAGGGCTCTCCTTGTCCCTCCGGGCACACCCGGAGCACCCCGGCGTGGTCACCGCCACCGCCCTGGGCACGCCCACCCTGCGCGCCCTTAAGCAGGTGAGATGGGCCGGAGGGGAGGGGGCTCCCGGCGTTCCCCAAATCCCGCGATCCGCTGCCATCCCGCCCGTTATCCCGGCAGGAAGCCACGCTGTCCGTCTGGCTGTCCTTCTCCGACCGCACGCTGGCCCCGCTGGAGCTCTACGGGTGGCACGACGTGGCCTTGGCCGTGACGTCCCTGGATCGCTCCGTCGCCACCGTCGGGGGGTCTCCCGGCGTTCCCGCTTCCCACCCGTGGGTGGTGGCGGAGGGGCCGGGCCGGGGGGCTCTGCTCCAGCTCGCCCTGCACCCCCCGGACCCGTGCCGGCGCGCCCGGCAGCGCCCGGCCCCGCTGGCCACCGGCACCGCCTGGCTCGAGGTGGGACACCCCCCGACCCCCGGGGGCCCCCGGCCCTTCCCGCGGGCCGAGGGGGCCATGTCCCGGGAAGCGGTGACCGTGGGGCGCGGGGACCCCGCGGGCGTGGGGCCGGCGGCCACCAAGTTCCAGGGATCCTCCTCGGAGGAGGAAGAGGAGGAAGGAGGTTACGGACGCGACCGCGCAGAGGGGGAGCGGCAGGAGGAGGAGGAGGAGGAGGAGATGGTGAAGGCCCCGGAGCGGGTGACCGACCTGGAAATCGGGATGTACGTCCTGCTGGGAGTGTTCTGCCTCGCCATCTTCATCTTCCTCGTCAACTGCATCTTCTTCGTGCTGCGCTACCAGCAGAAGGAGCTGCCCGAGCCGGGCGGGGCCCCCGCGGCCCCGCAGCCCCACAACTGGGTCTGGCTGGGCACGGACCAGGAGGAGCTGAGCCGGCAGCTGGATCGCCGGGAGCCGCCGCCGCCGCGCCGGGAGCCGGAGCCCGCGGGTGCGGGGTGCGGCTGCGGGGGCTCGGCCGAGGACGGGGCTCCCCCCGAGCCGCCCGTGCCCCGCAAGGAAGGGGCGGCCCCGGGCGGGGGCGGCCGGAGGAAGAGGGTGGAATTCGTGACCTTCGGCCCCCCCCGCGCCCCCGAGGAGCCCCCCCCGGCCGCCCCCCACGTGCAGTCCATCCTGGTGGCCAGCGAGGACGACATCCGCTGGGTCTGCGAGGACATGGGGCTGCGGGATCCCGAGGAGCTCCGGAGCTACATGGAGAGGATCCGCGGCAGCTCCTGAGCCTGGGGAACCCCCCGATTCCCGGGCAAACCAGTAAGGGACCGAATTCCTCCCCGTGCCGCGCCGGGGGGACACCGATCCCGGCCCCGCGCGCGCCGGGAATCCCCGGAGACCCCACCGAGAGGCCCAAGGAAGGGTCTCCAGAGGTTTTGGGATCCTGGCGGCTCCGGGGAGGAATTTGGGATGCCCTTACTGCTTTGGGTCTCATTGCGACATGGTGTTCATAGTGCTGATGATGATGATGGTGGTGGTGATTCCTGTGGTCTGATCCCGGGGAGGGATCCTGGTTATCCCGCCCCCTCCCTCTCCAATCCCTTCACCCCGGCCACGCATCCGTTTTGTACACATTTTTTACCGGGAACGCCCGGGAAGGGGCTGCCAGGGGCTGGTATTTATGGAAAAGTTTTTAATTCTGACGTTGTTACAAAAATAAAGTATTTAAAAAAAAAAAAAGGTGAGAATTCTCCCCCAACTGCTCCGTGTGGCATCTCCTCTGATCCCGATACTGGGTCCCATCCTGCTCCCATGGCAGTGCCAGGCTTCCAGGAATGGGAACGTGCCCTTGACCTTGGATCCACGTGAGAGCTGGTCACGGGAATGGATCCTGGCCCTGGCCCAGCTGGGGTGACCTTGGGATAAGGGATAAGGGATCTCTTTCCTCCCTCTCCTGCCATCCTCCTCCTCCACCTTCCAGCCCCAACACCATCTGGTCCTGGGTCTCCTCCCACCTTGATCTGCCCGAATGTCCCCTCTGGAATTGGCCAGAGGAATTGATCCCCCTTTATTTGGGGTTACCATGGAAATTCCCACCCTTTTTCCAGCCTCCCAGCGATCCCAAGGCACTCCCAGATAGCCCTGGGTGGTAGCAGGAAACGCACTCCCACACCCCAGCACCCTGATCGCGGCTTCCCAAAGCTTCCCAAAACCACACTGAGATGAGGCAATCCTGGTCCTGTCCCTCCTTCAGGGCATCCCAGGTCTCCAGGTGTCCAACCGGATCCAAGCCCTCACCCACAGTGGGATCAACATCTCCTGGAATGCCCCAGCTCCCACCCCATCCCTCCCCCACCATGCCCATCCCATCCCTCACCACGTATCCCTGGAGGGTCCTGGGGTGGTCCTGGATGTGCTGGAAGTTGCTTGGGATGCAGTGACTCCATCCAGAAGGCAGTGGGATGGTGGCTCCATGGGATCATCTCCCGGATGGATCAGATCCTGGATGGATCTATCACCACCTGTCCGGCATGGAGCCCATCCTGGAAGTAAAGCATCCAGGTTGGGATGAAGGGCAGGATCCCAGGCAGGATCCAGGAAGGTCGGGATCCAGGCCCCATCTCAGCCCCCCTCCCAGCTTCCCTGGAAAGCATCCCGAAGGATTTGGAGCTGATCCATAGGGACGGGCGACACATTTGTGGGGTCCCCTCCCGCTGTGCCCTGCGGGTATCTCCTCCCGCCCACCTCATCCCTGAAAAAAGGGACGGAGCTCCAGCAGCCTGGAAGACCCCAATCCCCCCGTGCCATCCCAAATCTCCACCGGATCCACTCTCCCCGGGGTGGGACCCCCAGGTCTGGGAGGTTCCTGCGCCCCAGGGGCGCTCCAGGGGCTCCAACGCCCCGTTTCCTCCCCGCCGGCAGCAGGATGGGGCCACCCCGGCACACCTCGTGATGCCAGCCCGGCTTCCTCCCCTCCGCCTCCATCCCGGAACCACCGGGGGAGTGAGACCTCCCTGCCCCGAGAGAGGGACCTCCAGACCCCCCCCGGATCCCGCAATCCCACGGGCCTGCCCCGCCGAAGGGATGGGGGGGCTGTGCCTGCTCGTGGTGGCTCTCTGCGCCCTGGCACCCGGACCAGGTACGTCGCCATCCCCTGCCCGTTGCTTCCCGGCCTCTCATTTGGGAGCTCGGGGTGCCGGATCCATGGATTTTGGGGCTGGGGACCTGCCACCTTCCCGGGATGGAGGTCCCAGGGCAGATGCTCCGGTGGTGGCTCCGCAGCTCCTCCGACCCTCGCTGTCCACTGGGAGCGAGGGAAGGGGGTCCCTGAAAGGCAATCCTAAGGATTGGGGTCTCCTCAGGATGAGGGACCCCTAAAACCACCCTGGGGACCCCAAAACCGGGATCCTAAGCCCCTAAAAGTGCTCTCAGAGCTGTCCCACCTGCCAGCCCTGTGGGATGCTCCAGGGCCAAATCCCATCCTGTCCCTCCTGTCACCCCTGGATGGTTTTGGGGTGTGATCCAGCCTTCCCCCCCCCAATCCCAGCAGGATTTGGGGTGCTTTGGGTTCTGAAATGGCTGCCAGGAGCTGCCTCAAGGCCTCAGATCGATCGGGGAACGGGCCCCTCACCCCCATTTCCGCTCCTCCTCTCACCTCCACCCCCACAGAGCAGCTCATTCCCGTTTTTCCCCCTCATCCCTGAGCTTTTCCTTGATCCTTTAGACTCCGATCCATGCCCCACCAGCTCCCCGGGATCCCAACCCAACCAGCCCCCCGGAACAGGGAGAGACCCCTCGCTCCTGGGGGATCCTTCACCCCACAAAAGCCAAAGGGGTAATTTTCCCGGGAATAACCGGAGCGTGCACTCACCTGTGGCTCCGGGATAGGTACAGCCCCTCTGTGTCCACAGGGATGAGCTGGGAAGTGGGAGCAGACCGGATGCGTGAGGACGTCCCAAATTTCAGCTCTTCCACCGGTGAGTTGTGTCCCAGTATTCCCATAATTAAGGAAAAAATTCTCCGAGCGGACCTCACGCCAGGATTTAGCCCCAGGAAACCTCGTGGGGACGGATTTTTGGGATGCAGGAGCGCCGTGAGCACGTGGGCTGGGGGAGGGTCCCACAGAGCCACCCACAACTGGGAGAATTCCCGTATTTTGGGGGGATTGGGATGCACCGCTCCGTGTGCCCCCCCAGGGTGGCCACAGGGCCATGGCTTCCTGTTTTCCATCTGCTCCTTGCCAGGAAAACCAGGAATGAGCCAAAAAAGGAGTGACTGACCCCTTGAATCCTGCTGATCTCGCTCCGTGGGGATCTGGATCTGTGGGATCAGATCCACATCCGTCATCCCCATGTCACCTCAGAGGGATCATCATCCCCAAATTGGGAATCCTGGGGGGCTCATTTCCTCACCCCTCTGTCCCTTTCTTCCCACAGCTCCCGCAGAGCCGACAGGATCTCCCAGCATTCCAAGTGGGAACGCCTCGGTGACACCGGGTGAGTGCGGGAGGGCGAGGAACATCCTTAGGAGCACCCCCTTGCTCCCACTTTTTAGTGGGAAGGGGGCACTGGGAACATCGCCGGGTCACCATTCCCGGTGTGCCTCCCAGATCCCGGAGGGCTCCGCTTGGCCGGCGGCCGGAGCCGGTGCGAGGGCCGCGTGGAGCTGGAGAAACAGGGAATCTGGGGGACGGTGTGCGACGACGGGTGGGACATTCCCGACGCCGACGTCGTGTGCCGGCAGCTCCGGTGCGGCCACGCCGTGAGCGTCCGCGGGAATTCCGCCTTCGGCCGCGGGCACGGCCCCATCCTCCGGGATGAGCTGGGATGCCACGGGCACGAGAGGCACCTCTGGGAATGCCCGGCCGCTCCGGAGCACGACTGCAGCCACAAGGAGGACGCCGGCGTGGTTTGCTCAGGTGGGTTTGGGAGCACCCCGGCTGCGGCGGGGAGGGATGCGGGAGGCACATCCCCCTCCTTTCCCGCAGAGCACCAGGAGTGGCGGCTCTCCGGGGGCCGGGACGGCTGCGCCGGCAGGCTGGAGGTGTTTTTCCGCGGCACCTGGAGCACGGTGTGCGACCACACCTGGTACAGGCTGGAATCGGCGGTGCTGTGCCGCAGCCTGGGATGCGGGACGCCGCTCCAGCGCCTCTCCTTCGGACACACGCTTCCCGGGAAGATGCTGTACGAGTGCGGGAGCCTCCAGGCTTCCCTGGCGTTCTGCCACTGGACCTTCAACAGATCCGCTCCCTGCCACCAGTCCCGGGCGGTCGGGGTGGTCTGCAATGGTACCGGATCTTCCCGCTGGGATCTGGGAGGGAATTCCTGCCCCTCCCCTCGGCATCCCCATGATCTGATTTCTGTCCCCGCTCCCCTCTCCAGGCTCCCAGGGTTTGCTGGATCCGACCCCCACGGCCGCAGGGACAACCGGGAATGTCACTGTCCCACGGGGTGAGTGTCCTGCAATCCCTTCCTTCCCATTCCCTGGAGGAAGGATTTAGGTGGGAATGACTTGTGTCCGTTCTCTGTCCCAGCCGAGGAAGGGTCTCCAGCTGTAGGGACACAATTCCCATGGGATAGTCTCCTCTTTATCCTGTGCCTGGTGCTGGGAATGCTGCTCCTGCTCTCCATGCTGGCCTTTTCCGTCGCTCTGCTGAGGCTGAGGAAGAGGAGCAGTAAGGAATTCTGGACTGAGCATGGAATTGGGGCACACATCCCACTTTTTCAGCTCAGCTTTTCATCCCCATTGTCCTTGCAGCCATGTGTTCCTTGGGAATAACCACCCCAGTCCTGGTGACCCACAGCTCCCAGAGCCCTGACGTGCCCTCCGGGATTCCCAATGACTACAGGGAGATTCCCACCAGCCTTCCCAAAGGATCAGGTGGGTCTGGCAGGTCACTCCCCTGGGATGGGGGGAAGGGGATCCCAGCTGATGGCACATCCCCCATCCCATTCTCACCCCCCAGACCCGCTGGGCACAGCCTTTTCCAAGGATTCCACCTCCGATTCCGACTCGGAATACTACGAGTTCAGCAGCAAGCCGCCCGTCGCCCTCTCCACCTTCTACAGTGAGCGCCCCATTCCCTCTGGAATTCCCCTCACCTTGCCCAGGATCCCCATTCTCATACTCCAGGATTCCCATTCCCTTTTCCTGGGATCCCTGTCACTCCCACTGCTCTCCCCTTCCCAGACTCGCTGCGCCGCCAGCCTGGGGAGCAGCTGCTCCCACCGAGGCCCAGCCAGGACGGGATGGAGCCATTCCCTGAGGATGGTACGGGACAAGGGGGGGTCCATCCCATGGATAAGGGGGTGGCTCCTCTCTGTTCCTACACTGGATGTCCTTGTTCCCACAGCACCGGCCAGGATGGGCCCCCCATTCCCTGGAAGGAAGAACAGCTCCTCCAGCTCCTCCTCCTCCTCCATGAATCCCTGTCAGAATGGCAACATCCCCTCCCAGCACAGCTGGGGCACTGGTGGGCCCTGCCAGAGGGATGTGTGGGAGCAGAGATGGGGAGAGCCCTGGGAATGGGAATAGTGATGGGGAGAGCCCTGGGAATGGGAATAGTGATGGGGAGAGCCCTGGGAATGGGAACAGTGATGGGGAGAGCCCTGGGAATGGGAACAGTGATGGGGAGAGCCCTGGGAATGGGAATAGTGATGGGGAGAGCCCTGGGAATGGGAACAGTGATGGGGAGAGCCCTGGGAATGGGAATAGTGATGGAGAAACCCCAGGGGTGGGAATAAGGAAAGGA